TTAAGAAACTCTCATTAGCCTGAAATATAAGAACTAAAGTCTGTGCATGTACTGATTTTACCTCAGAGTCACCTATATTGAGTTACCTCAGGAATTTTACCCCTGATTTTCCCTGACCTTTCCCCTCTATGTTAAATAAAATATTTCATTATTTTTGAATTTCAAAATGCCTTGAGTGCCATTTCAGTTATTTAAGTTAAAGGTTGTAATCCCAAATTTTGCTGGTGGGGATTTACAGTCAAATCAGGCACTTCAGTAGAAAACCCCATTCATCGACCGAGGTAAGAAAACCTAGAAAAGCCCCCTGCTGCAGGATCCTCCAAACAGGAAAACAAACAAAAACAGAGTGCCTTCAAAAGCGTTGGGGGGCGTGCGCAGGAAGGAATGGGCTTGTTAAGGTGACTTTACGCTACGTACAGATCTTGTGCAACTGGTGGATAGGGAGGTGGTGTGGCTGCTCTCACAAGATTCTTAAAAGGTTTTAAAAGGGGGGCACAAAAGTAGCCTTGTGTATTTTGAATCATGAAGCCATAGGACTCCCAGCCTGCTAAGACTCCAAGATGCCTATGTCCCATTTCCCAGTACTTCTGTGTCTTTTTTCTTTCCCCCCTGCTTCTTCCATAAGGTTGATTTGTTATTGTGTATATAGTAGTCTTGTTGTGAGAAGGGGAACACAGAGATGGTGTGAATCAGGGCTGTATATTTTTGCCTTCCATAAAGACAGAACAGGGAGAGGAATCTACAGGATCTCTCTCACGCTTGCTCCCCTGCCCCCCTGGATTTCCCAGTGCCCCACCAACCAAAATTTTCTGGCTACGCCCCTGCAGAAGATCCTAAGATTGTCTGGCAGCCAGAAGTTCTAGCTCTTTAGTATTATGCACCACTAGGTGGTGAGCTAGACTTGTTTTTAAGGCAAGAGATGTTTCAGAGGTGGTTTGCCATTGCCTGCCTCTGCACCACGACCCTGGTATTCCTTGGAGGTCACCCTTCCAAATACTAGCCACGGCTGCCCAAAATTGAATACAGTACTCCAAGTGAGGCCTAACCAGAGCAAAGTAAAGTGATATCATCACTTTGTGTGATCTGGACACTATACATCTGTTGATGTAGCCCAAAATCACATTTGCCTTTTTAGCTACTGCATCACATGGCTGACTCATGTCATGGTCTAGTACTGCCAAGACAAATTTCCCCCATCCTATAATTACGCATTTAATTTTCCTACCTAAGTGCAGAACTTTATATCTATTTCTGCTGAAATTTATTTTGTTAGTTTTAGTCCAGTTTTCCAGGCAGTCAAGATCATCCTGTATCTCAGTGCTGTCTTCTACCGTATTTACTACCCCTCCCAATTTAGTATCATCTGCAAATTTAATGAGCATCCCCTCTATTCCTTCATCCAAATCATGTTTAAAGATGTTGAACATCACAGGGCACAGAAGAAATCCCTGAGGTACTCCACTTGTCACTCCTCTTAAAATAATGATGTGATGGAAAAAGAGATATCCCTGATAACTTGTAGGTTAAGAAACACTCCGTCCATCCCTTCAACATTCTAGAGGAAAGTGGAAGATGAAGTGTCAGCCCCACAACAGAGAAGCAGTTAGTTTAGATATCCAGAAACTCCAATGATTTTCTGTGCTGGAACATTCTGGGTTGGATCCAAGTTATAGGATTGGATCCACAGGTGCATTTCTGCTTACAGTTATGATTCTGCTTACAGTTATGATTTCCCATAGTTATGATTCAATCCTTTGCTTCTCCTAAAAGTGTTGCTAGACATCCATTAAGTTGTCTTTTGTCACACAGATATTAGGATTTATTTTTTTTACAGCAAGAGTAGTTCAGCAGTAGAATCGGTTGCCTAGGGAGGGGGTGAGCTCCCCCTCACTGGCAGTCTTCAAGCAGTGGCTGGATGAATATGTGTCAGGAATTCTTTAGACTGATCCTGCATTGAGCAGGAGGTTGGACTTAAATGGCCTGTATGGCCCTTCTAACTCTATGAGTCTATGTTCAGTGGGGAACTATCATGGACTGCCACAGTTTAGCATGGGAAGAGGAGTCCTTGGAGGAGAATGACAACTTGCCCCTCAAGCCCTACCTTGGGCAGACCCTCCCAGTGAGCTGGACTCTCCAATGCCTCCCTGAAGTGACCATGAGCTAGCACTAGCACTGCCCCAGCATGGATCCACCCTGGTCTCCTGAAGTACCTCAGGAGCAGAGAAGGTGAAGGGCTAGGACTGAGGTATGCACCAGGTGCAGAAGTGCATGGCCCAGGCCTCCCTCTGCTAAGGAAATGCTAGGATATACTGATAAGTCACCACAGGTTTGAGGCCTTAGTGCTTCTCAGCTTGTGAGGGGAAGCCTAACTTGGGAACCAATGACACCTGAAGGGAAACTCCCTATATAAGGATGCCAGTGTGGGATCAACTCATCTGCAACCTGGCCTATGAGACTTTTTGCACAGGGGAGGGTGGGTTACAAATCCAGTAAATAAACAAACAAACCATCCTGCCAGTTGCCTGACCTTGGACTGCTATTCTGGATTCCCCTTTTAGATACTGGACTGGAATCTTTGCTGGGAGACCTGTTGTGGCCTGGGACTTGCCTCCAACCTGGTGAACAAGAGAGCATCTGACACTCATCTTGCAACTTCTGAGAAGGAGCTATAAGCATGAGATGTGACCAGGCCAGGAGAAGTGGCTGACCTGGGTAGCAGGGCTCTGGATTTATTTATTTACTTAGAAAATTGCTATGCCGTCCCTTCAGGGTACTTACACAATGATTGTGAAAAAATGCACTTGCTTGACTTTGTAAATAGTCAGTGCAAACCAACTGTACTGTAAATATCCTAAGTAGCACATTTTATAAAGCTGGTTCATCCAATCAAGAGGTCATTGTTCTAAGGTTAACCATCTGCCCACATGAACAAAGAACTCCTGCATGTTCCAGCAAAAAACTGTTTCTGAGAGTTTTGATCACTTTATCTGTGAACTCCACCAACCGGCTGTAACAATCTGCAATTATGTATTTAATTATGTGAAGAAAGGGATTCAAGAGCTCCAGAACTGGCTTAAGACTGCTGTATTATCAACTCACTTCAAATTCAGTCCACATTGTAAATATACTGGGAGACTGTTTTCAGTTAGCTAATTGTGCAAACTTTAGTCAGGTTTTTTTTAAGGTTTCTTTTTGTAGCTTGCATTTTCCTACCACTCTACAGCACAATTGTTTAGCACTGAAACACTACCCAATACACAAGACATTCAAAGTATTATTAGAAATGAGCACTAGAAAAGCTCATGTACTATTTTATCATTTCACACAGTCCAAAAAGCAAACATTTTATATAGCAGAAAAATAGCCTTGTAAGTAAACAATTTAAATAAATAGAATACAACTCATTATTATATATAATATAATCTTTATATATAAAAGGTATATTAGAAATGTATTAGAGCCAAACCAGAAACTCTTGGTTGTTCTGTGCAAGTAGAGTCCCAACAAGGCTCCTGTGGTGTCATTAAATGAGTGATATATCCCTAGAGAACACTGTCATTAACCTCCTTGAAGAAGGTATTTATTTTATTTATTTACAACATTTATTATCTTTCTTTTTTCCTTATGGAGCTCAAGGCAGCTTACAACACAGATAAAATGCATAAAATATAATACATAAAACCCAAAATTTAAAATTACAATTCAGGACTGCTAATAGACTTAACCAAATGTGGTTAAATGATACACTGCTCAAGAAAAATTAACTTTGGCCCCTGCCACATGGCAGGGAAAACACCGGTGAAAGTGCGGCTAATTAGAGCCGCACCAAAATAGAGACGCTGCGGGCGGGATCCCATGGATCCTGTGAGCCGCGCGCCGTTGCTCCCCAGCACGATCAGATGCCGAGGAGGAAGAGACAAGTGGGAGGGGGAGGCTGCCGAACTGTGCATGCTTGAGCATGCGCAGTTCGCCCGGAGATGCGCCGGCGCAAGGACGTGCCGGCGATCCCACGGCCGCACTTGCTGCGGCCCTTTTGATTGAACCACCTGGAAGGGACAGATGGGGGATGGGCGCAGCACGATTCCCAGATGTTGCTGTGGGATCGCGCCCGTTTGCTGCGGCCCCGATCCGTCCCTCTTCTGGCTCAAAACCCCTCGTGTGAACAGGGCCTATATTGACTATCTATCCATATTTCCCTCTCTTCCCTTCTACTTCCAACCCTCCCCTTCAAGTTCTGTTAAAATCCATTTGGCTCATGTTCAGGATATCATTTCCCCCAATATTTCTTGCTATTTTTTTCATCTCAACATCTCATCTTTTATTTCCATTTTTACTACATTTCCCTTTCTCCACCCAGATCTTCTTTGTCATCCAGCCAGATTTCTCTTCAGGTTCCTTCTCTTTATTAACTGCTTCTTATGTTGAAAAGGGACCAAAAATGATTACCGATAAAACCAGATGGAAGAAAACAAAAAACCTAGGCCCTGAAATTTATAGTCACAGTGAGTGATGTTTCAACAAAGAGCAAAATTAGTATGATTCAAGTCAAATTAAGTGTGGTAGCATGGAAAAATCTAGCTGCCTACCTGTTGTAAAGACTAACCATAGTTTTATGATGGAAATAGAGGGCTGACTTTTCTAAAAACTTCATTGCAACATACAAGCAGCAAAAATGGAACCCTCAAACACAAAATCAATAGCCTGGGCTACTCTGTGATGGGTCTAGTCATCAGATAAAACTGTCCCAGTTAACATTTATTTAGATCTTATGTTCTCCTGCCTAATGGCTTCATACTCTAATATAAAGATGAAAAGAAAAAGAAAAAGGGGGGGGACAGAAAGAGGTATAATGGGAGATTTAGGGAGGATAGCAAAAGAGCTGTATGGCAAAACAAGGGATAAGAAGTTTGTTCCTGTCTGTTGTAGCATTTGGTAGTGTGGCACCACAGGATCAGGTTACAGATTATGCTCACCTCTACAGTATGTGCATACATTCTTACCTCAAACTTCTGTCTCAGTTCCACATTTCCACCGTCATCGGCTTCTGGTATTGGAACATTGTAATACTCGCCTTCTTCCTGATTAAGCAGTTTGTACCTGTGTAATGTAAGAAAAATACTTTATGTAATGGAAATGATTTATTTAGAAAATCCTTATGCTGCCTCTCCAGAAAATTTATACACTGCCTTGAGGCAGCTCACTAGCAATACAATAATATCATTAAAAACAACATAAAATCATCAATATTAAAACAGTCTATGAAAACCCAGACGCTTATGATGCTAGAAATGCAGAATCGAGGCAAAAAGTCTAATTTGCAATATATTTCTAAATATCTATATAGTTTAGGGGCCATTCAGTGTATTTGTATACTGGTTTAATTCAGAGGAATATCCTACTGAGTTCAAGAGGACTTCCTGCCTAGTAAGTATACATAGGCTTGCAGTGTTAGGCTGACATAAGTGACTTGTCAGAAAACTGCATTGAAAACACAACTGATATGTGAACTGTTTGTCCATTTCACACAAGCAGTGATTTACTTGTGTCAAGTGCTCTCAATTCTTCTTTGAACAGGAAGAGCTCACTTTTCTCATGATGTGGTAACAGCATCAATTATGCCCAGGTCTTTTAAGAAAAGAGACCATTTTCCTACTGATTGTGAGTTTTGCCCCTTGTACCAAGGAACATCTTACCATCCACATGCTGGCATTTTCATGAGTTCTGACACTCCAAAAGAAAGAGAGCCCATGAAATCATTCCTAGTTGTTCGATCCCAATCCCAGATTTCAACAGATAATCTTCTGTCTTTGTCTGTAGGTTTTAATTTACTGCAAATAAAAGAAGAAAATTGTTGCCATTCCAATAAGATTGCAGAAGCGCAATACAATGTGCGCAAACAGAACTATTGCTAGAAAAAGTATCAAAATTCAACTTACAATGTAAATGTCTCATTCCAATTTGGATTAAGAGTGGAACGAATGGTTTTTGTTTTTTGTTTACTTTCATTCTTAGGATCAGGAATAAGTTTCAACTTCACATAAGGATCTGAAAGCCCATTTGGATCCATAGGAATTAGGTTTTTTGCATCTCGCACTGCAAGTACATAAAACAGCAATTTATTATATACATACTGGAAAAAATACTTTACTGCTGTGTATAAAGCACCAAACCCATTAATAATGAATAACCAATTTTCTCACTTCCCCCGGCACAGGAATGACCAAGTTGTGGAAAACAGAGGAGGAGGGAAAGGAAAGAGTAGTAGTTAAAACAGCTAAGTGGTATAGCAACTTATTTACCTGTTGAAAACACCTGCACTGGATTCTTCAAGGCTCACAGAAACTCCCTTCTCTCCCTCCCCCATATGGGCCTTCTCTGGATTGGATTAGTCTCTTCGCTAGCTTCCCCAAACACTGTGTATCTAGTGTTGGGTACATTTACAAAAGGGAAAGTTCGTACAGGCCTGCATGGAGGTCACAGTTGAAGGCCCTTTCTGCACTGTCATTTCCCTTGCTTTAACCCAGCATCTCCCTCGCTCCCCCCCCCCCATTCTGCACCCCTCTGCACCCTCACCAAGCATTCAATTCGCAGTCACTTTTTCATTCTAAACTGATACCACCCCCCTTCAGTGCCCAGATCGCTTTCAGCCTGCATTTATCCCGGGCTTTTCAAGAGTGGTTTTGTGGTGATTTCTATCTGTTGTTTGCCTCCAAGTCAAAACTAATTTAAAAGCAGGAGTATCGCCTTGGATTTTCCAACCCCTGCCCATTTCTGGTTCCTCCTAGGCCAATCCCCCCTCCTCATCAATGTCCTTATTGGCTCGTTCAGCCCTGAGTATTGTTTTGGGGTTGTTTTTTTTTAAAAAAAATTGAATGCTTTCCACTCTTGCACAACTGGCAGGCGAGTGCATGGCCCTTTGCAGATGCAGTGTTGCTCTCATCCTGTCTGGGGTGGCAAAGTTGCCTTTCCCTCCACCAGGTTTTCCAGTGAGTGCTTGGCAAAGGCAAAGGCAGACACTAAAGGTGCGGGTGAAGCGGGCTACACAGCTGGCCCCATTCCTCCATGGTTCTTCCTGCCTGCAACTGCCCCCTTCCCAAGGGACAAGCTGAGCAGCTTGCTGCAGCCAAAGGAGAAGCCTGCCAGCCTCTCCCTGACCCCTCCACCACTGCCTAAACAAAAGCATGCTGGCTGGCTGCTTACTAAGTTCTCTCTCCAGCAAGCCACACATCAATTTCAGGCCCAGGGAGGGGAACAGGGAAGCCACAGCCAATTTTGCTCTTCCTTGGCTCTTGGGGGAGGGATTAGGGTGGGAGGAAAGGAGTAGGAGAAGGCCTGGACAACTGCACGGACTTTGTTGCAGGAGGAGGAGTGCAGGTGAAAGGGGTCAGGGAGAGGCTGGTGGGCTTCTCCTTTCACTGCAGCAGAAAGGCATCCTTCTTGCCCAGCCTGGCAGCGCTGGCTTACCCTCCTTGGCCAGCCCTTGCTGTGTGTCTTGATCTGGCTTCTTCTTAGCTCCCATTCTTTATCCCTCCCTTCCCTTCCCGCTTTCCCTCCCTCCTCTTGCACCTCCTTCCTTTCCTCTTTTCCCTCCTCCCCTCCCGTCTGCAAGTCCTGGGTGTGTGCTCCCTCCTTCAGCTGTCTCCTCTCCACTTTCTCCCCAGGATGCTGCTTGAGAGGTCCTCCGGTGACCCGTCACCCCACACTGGTTACAAGTGACGTCACAACTATTATTAAGCAAAAAATGTGAGTTTTAATTGTAGATACAGAATGCATACAAAAATAACGCCATAAATAAAATGGGGAAAAAAGAACAGTGCAAAGGGCAGGCACACAAATCTGAAGTCAACCTGGCTGCTTGGATTCTCCAGAGTAAGCTACAGTGAGCTATGTGTGCAGAAAGGACCGAAATCACTGCTTAAGTCTATAGATGCTCCTGGGGGAAAACTGTATTCATAAGAATGGAGGACTGCCCAAGAGAGAGATCTTGGAGTCGTAGTAGATAACGCAATGAAAATGTCGAGACAGTGTGCGACTGCAATAAATAAGGCCAATGCTATGCTGGGGATTATTAGGAAGGGAACTGAAAACAAATCAGCCAGTATCATAATGCCCCTGTATAAATCGATGGTGTGACCTCATTTGGAATACTGTGTACAATTCTGGTCATCACACCTCAGAAAGGATATTATAGCATTGGAAAAAGTACAGAAAAGGGCAACTAGAATGATAAAAGGGTTGGAACACTTTCCCTATGAAGAAAGGTTAAAGCGCTTAGCTTGGATACATGACGACTGAGGGGTGACATGATAGAGGTTTACAAGATTATGCATGGGATAGAGCAGATAGAGAAAAAAGTACTTTTCTCCCTTGCTCACAATACAAGAACATGTGGGCACTCAATGAAATTGCTGAGCAGTCAGGTTAGAACAGATAAAAGGAAGTACTTCTTCACCCAACACATGGTGAAGAACACATGGAATTCGCTGCTATAGGAGGTGGTGGCAGCTACAAGAATGGACAGCTTCAAGAGGGAATTGGATAAACATATGGAGTGAGGTCCATCACTGGCTATGAGCCACAAAGTATAAGATAGGAACGCTCGGTCTGAGGCAAGTAATGCTCTGTATTCTTGGTGCTTGGGGGGGGGCAACAGTGGGAGGGCTTCTAGTGTCCTGGCCCCACTGGTGGACCTCCTTTTTTTTTTGGCCCCCCGAAGGGGAATTTTTTTATTTTTGCATTTTCTACACACTACATATATGGAATGGGGAAAGGAATACTAATGGCCTATCACTATTACTATGGGAAATGGGCCAGGGAATTCTAGATACATATAATCTACTGGAAAGGGGGAGGAAAAACTACAATTCTATTCTAAATCTCCTACTGGATATGGGGAAGGGATAAAGATTAATACAAATCACGATCTGAAAAGCTTAAAAATAGATCTTTTTAACCTATTA